AGAGCATTCCTATTCAAATGCTTTGAGCATATTGAGAGAGCACCACTCTCAGATTATGATGTCAACCACATGCTCTTCTCATTTTACCTCAACTATGGAAGACCTCAACTACAGATTTGAAGCATACAGAAGATGGTAGCTGTCAAATTTTATGCACCTTTCCCAGTTAAGAACTTCATAAATGTCAAGTTTAAAGGTTACAGCGGGTCAAGTCATTCCGAAGTTGACTTCACACTTGCTGATTTACCATGTATGAATCTGAATGACTAGATTTCTCTATTCTGGTTTTGTCTAAGGATGAACAGAAGTACAAACCGATGGTTGCTCACTTGAAAAGAATGCTGATTTGCTACATTCATGAAGTAGAAAAGATGGATATAGAAATTGTTGTTATTCTGAAGAAAAAGCCAATTGTGAAACCAGAACCAGAACCAAAGGACTTCTGAAAGCTGAAACTGGGGAAGATCAATAAATAAAAATGGAATGTCGTGTATCAACGAAGAGATGGTGAAAATGTTATGAAAAGCAACAGCTTCTCTGAACAATATTTTTGGTCTGGTTGAAGCTACCAAGTCAAACAACACTGATCATATGAAGTGCTTTACCGATATTGTCAGATGGTATCTTACGATCCGAAATACTCTTCTGAATCTGATGACACGGTTGTTCAAGGATGAGAAGGTACAACAATGAAGAATCTCTTTTCTTTATTTGACACAATGGGGGAGATTGTTGGGTTATTAACGTGTTGTGTCAAATTGTATAATACTAGAATAGTCTCATTTTGTAACGGGTTGGGCCTGTCCATCCGTGATTATGGGTTGCTAGGGTTAGACTATTTAATGTGCATGCATGTATCATTTTAGGGTTATCGATTATATTTGCCCTACTTAGTTTTTTCTGAAAAGTTCATGCTGAACTCTTCTAAAGCTATTCAATCTAAGCATTCGAAACCTTTTGATCTTCATTGTTTTCTTCTTTTGTTCATATCGTTTATAGAATCTATCAATCTAAGTTTTTATTGTTTCAACAGAGAGCACTACTCTGAGTTATTAACAACATCAGACTTTGAGGACGGAGTCTGATTCAAGTTGGGGAGAATTGTAACATCTTGATCCAAGTATTTTCCATTTGTACCCTTGGTATGAAATTTAATTGCAAAATTTATCACTTTGCTCATTAAGTAAAACGTGCCTTCAGGTGAGTACGCTGCGCGTACTCGCGAGTACGTCGGGCGTACGTGACTGATGTCTAAACCCTAATTTTTAGGATTTTAGCGCTATTTAAAAATCATTGGCTTCTCAAGACCTTTTCCCTCATCACGATCCATCTCCCAATTCGTCCCTAGCAAATCCTAATCCATTGTGTGAGCATGTTGAGCTTGAGATAGTGTATTTTTTTGTGAACTTGAAGGAAGATGAAAGAAGTGGAACCATCTTGGAAGCTCAAGTCATCTTAGATCTAAAAGTATCTTAACCTCAAGCATCATTTAAAGGTATAAACATTGGATCCTTTTGTGTTATTTGCATAGACCTTGCTAGTATAGAGTTTGTGTGCATTTTTGGTCCCATAGTTTTGTTCTAATGGAGTATGAGCGACTCCAGGTCCTTGAAATGTACTTTCTTGTAGTTTTCAACTCATAGATTCATAAAAATGAGAGATTGGATACTCTCAATAAACCATGCAAGAGATTTTGGTGTTTTGGGTGACTTTTGGACCAAGGGTTTGAGTTTAGATCCTCTTGTATACATGCAAATGGATAAAGTCAGAGACCTTATCCATTAAAAAATCCCTTTTTACCTGGATCTGAAGTTTGGTTCATTGACTTAGAGAAATATGGACTTAACAATGGAATGTGGATTCAGCGTTGGTACGCTGGGCATACCTGGAGGTACGATGTGCGTACCAGGTTTGGGGCCTATAACTAGGAAAGGCACCCTCTATGATGGGCGTAGAATGGAGTACACAGGGCGTACTCAGCCTACGTGGAATCATTGACTTTTTTAATTGAATTTGACCAGGATTTTGACGAAGTTTGACTTAAGGGTATTTTGGGTATTTTGATCAGTAGTTTAAGACTAGGTCATTGTTTGCTATATAGGTGACCTGTAGAGTCAGCAGTTGGAATTATGATATCTTCAACTATCTTTTCATACTGTGAGGTCAGTTTTCCTCACTGTAGTTGTGGGTCGAAGGGACCAATGCTGACCCACTAGATTATGTATCCTGGTTTATTGGATTGATGTTATGTTGGTTATATGATAGACTGGTAGATCTGTATGATTACCTATGTTCAATGAGTAGGTGTTTGATTGGTATATCTGTACGATTACCTGTATGTTGGTTATGGATTGTTATTTTATATTTCGACATGTTATGGATCGTTGGGTTGAGGAGGTCCTGCTTTGTGCTGAAGGTCAAGATACCCAAGGGCGGTCCGGATAGATTGAAGGCCCAAGAGGCGGTCCAGTCAGGTCGAAGGTCCAGAGTGCGGTCTAGCTAGGCTGTAGGCCCTACGAGGCACTCCTGTCAGCCTGAAGGCTCATATACGCATGATGTTATCTGTTAGGCTGTGTGTGGTACTTTGATGGAACTCACTAAGATTTGGCTTACTATTTGTTGGTTATAGTTTCAGGTACTCCAGAGGACAGGGGCAAGGTGACGACTTGATCGTGCACATCCTTAGAATTTTATGATATTGGATTTTGGGAAACTCTGATTTTTGATATTATCTTTTGGAAACAATGTTTTGTTAACATTTATGGTTTTGGGGTTGGTTTTGAAAAACAAAAAAATTTACCTTGATTTTGGGATGTTACACCATAGATTGTGGGTTTGCCTCTATTTGATGAATAGGTGGCTCACAATGTCGGTTCTTGCCTTCGTGTGGGCAGTGTGGATATATGTTAGCTGGTGAAGTGAGTTTTCTCACTATACTTTATAGTACAGTATATATCCTTATGTATAGGATGTTGTTATGATGTAGTGGTATGTATATCCTTGTGTATATGATGTTCTTATGCTATGTTAGGTGGGTAGATTTGTTATGATTACCTGTGTGTCCCTGTTATTGTTAATGTGTATATGTTGACATACGGTGGTTGGGTTGAGGCGGTCCTTCTTTGTGTTATATGCCAAGATACTTAGGTGTTCCAACGTATTGTATGCCTTGCGAGGCGGTCCAGTTAGATTGTAGGCCCAATGGAGCGGCCCAGCTATAATGTAGGCCTTGAGGGTCGGTCCAATTAGATTGTAGGCTCGGAGAACGATCAATTATATTGTAGGCCTTGTTAGGCGGTCTAGGCTAACTGAAAGCTCATGTGTTCATGCATTGTATGTGTCTTGTTGTGTGGGGTATTTTGGGGAACTCACTAAACTTTGGCTTACAGTTGTGGATTTCAAATGTTTTAGGTACTTCAAATGATCGGGGGAAGGCGGAGGCTTAATCGTATACATTATCATATACATTTTTATGTTGAGAGATGTTATTTGATACTTTGATTTTGTTACTAGGTTTTGGAAACAATGGTTGATTGACTCATAGTTTTTATGAAAATGGCTTTGAAAATCAAAATTTTTTACTATGGTTTTTGGGACGTTACAGAAGCAATAATATAAAAAATCACATAATAGTATTACTATTAGGGAGAAATTCATATATGTCTTAAACATAGTATTTAAATACTATTATTTGACATTTAAGTTTTCACCCGTTCAAATTATATTATCATTTTCTAATATAACTTGTTTTTGGTATTGACCTTTGAGTTTTTTTAAATGACCTATAAATATTTATAAATTTTAGAAAAGAGGTCATCCAAGTGAGTATGTTTCAAGATATTTCAAATACATTTACCATATTTATTTGAAACTCCACAATTTTTTAAATTTAAATCAATTAATAACAACCACTTAAACGTAAAGGGAAATTAGGGGTTAAAAAAAGCAATACAAAAATATGATCCTAATCACTAAGATTGCGGATTTGATACATCATGAACAACTTAATCCTTACGCTGGCGTTGGATGAGATCAAGACAACGGATCACACACCGACTGATTATCATCGTGAATGAGGTTTGACACATCACATTATGAGGTTCGACCTTACAATACGATCTACAGAAAGCATATTCAATAATTATGCATGCACAGAAAGGATCAAAAGTCAACACTTCACAAGCCTATTGCAAAATCACTCTACCAACATCAAACCTTATTCAGTTTCTTTTAAATGTTTTTTTTACTAATTGATGCCGCATGTTATACGAGTACCACCCTCTTCCTCATATCGAAATTCCCTTGTCGAAAAAGGTAGTCTCTAATCGATTTGATCAAGTCCATAAAATACCACTTCATGATACCTCTTATAAGCTCTTATGCTTATTAATTACTCCAAACAAAACCTAAGTTTCACCATTGAAGAATAATTGTCTACTTTGATGGTGACTCATTTATTTATTAAAATAGATTATTAGAACATAGATATGATTTCTTATTCTTAAATAGTGAATATAAACATATAATGCACTTTAGAGAAATTGTCCATCTATCTTTGTTGGGTGTTAGTGTGGTTCGATCTTTATGTAAAGCCTAGAGAAATCTGTACCTTGTGCAGTAATAAAAACTAGTTACACTATCAAAGAGTACATGTTATTACAAATAAGTAAGTCATTAAAAAAATATATCTCACAAGAGGTTATTTTTTATCAAATGATTTTATTATTGTTAATAATAATCTGATTTTTTTTTTAAATAAATTGTGAAAAAGGCAAACTTGCAAACAAAAAATTTGTGGCGAATAATTTGCAAAGCAATTTGTCATGATAAAAAAAATTAAAAAAAAAAAAAAAAAGTTATATTTCGATCCGCGAGTCTACATTGGCGACTATGGTGGTTGACTCCGAATGAACCCAGTCATTTTTGTAATGATATTTTTATCAACTATCCTCTAAACTCTCGTTTAACTAACAACTTACAGCAGAATTAAGCTAATTTTAATGATAACTAGCGATGTGGAGGTTGGAGCAGGAGATAGCATTGGGCATACCGTCCAATTTCTACTTGATTGTAAAGAAAAAGGTCGGGATCTTGGCAATCTACGTCCCCCATCAATTTTCATGGTTCCAAGACTCTACCGAGATCTCAGTTCAAGATCTTTTACTCCTAGTCTTGTCTCTATTGGACCTCTTCACAGACGAGATAAAAATTTGCAGAAGTTTGAAGTTCAAAAAATGCCATATTTACATTATTTATTGGATCTATCGGGCTCCAACCCAGAGCAAACTTTACAAGAATGTGTGCAAAAGGTGAGTACGAAAATTGAACAAATAAAAGCATGCTATGAAGAGTCAACGACTTACAACGATGAGGATCTTACTAGAATGATGGTAATAGATGCTTGTTTCATACTTTATTTCATTCATCTTCTTTCACAACATGATGGACCATTTCAGGGAAACTGGTCGATTGCTCCATTAACAGTTCGAGACCTGGTGTTGATAGAAAACCAAATCCCGTTTTTTGTTCTTAAAGACATCTTTGAATCTACTGTTCTTCATTTTAAACCAAATACCTCTCTGACTAACCATATTAAAATACTTCTCCGCTATTACAATTTCTTTGGAGAATATATAATAACAAGCAATATAAGCGTAGAAACCACTGATCATGACCATATTCTTGGCCTTCTTCACAAATTTTTACAACCTACACATGATTTCCCATCAGCATCTTATTCATATCCAAAGAGGCACTCCGCCTTGGAACTCGATAGAGCTGGGGTAAACTTTAGGCCTAATGAAGATGTAAATTGGGCAATAGCCATGGAAATGAAATTACCCAGGTTTTCATGGTTCCCATGGTTTTGGTGTAAGCCTACTTTGAGGATGCCAAAACTGCATGTTCATGATAACACTGAGTTGATATTAAGGAACCTGATTATGTATGAGCAGGCTTGTCTACTTACTAGATACATCACAGCATATGCCTGGGCCATGGATATGCTAATCGATACTGCTGAGGATGTTGCCAAGTTGATAAAGTCAGGGGTCCTGATAAACGATTGTGGCTCTAATGAGAATGCTGCAAATATGATAAACAGAATATGCCAAGACGTCGCCTTAGATGGTTTTTATTATCATCAAGAGTGGCAAGATCTGGATACCTACTATAATAGATACTGGCCCAATGCTGCTGCAGGGTTGAAGCGGACATATTTCAGTAGTCCATGGCATATGGTTGCTGTCTTCGCTGGAATTATTTTGTTTATTCTTACCATAGTTCAGACAATCTTTACAATCAAGGCTGCAAATCCGATAATTGTAACTAAACATTAGATTTTTATTATTAGTTTCCTCTTACATATATTGTTCACCCTTTGCTTCAATGTTTTCGGTTTTCTTCTTTTGCTCTTTGTTTATAAGTCACTCATATTCAACAAGTATAAGTTTAATAGAGCTTAGAATATTGCAGCTGGACATGGGTTTGGGTATGGACATGGTGAACAAGTTAAAAGGCCTAAACTAAAGGACGTCAAGTGAATGAAGAGAACTTGAAAGTGTTGGATCAAGGTTGTTTTCGAACTAAATTTAGCAATGGAAGTATAACTTCAAAATCGAGCATCATGATGTACCAATCAACCAAATACAATCAAAACCAGCCACAAAAGTAACAAAAATTACGATGCAAGTAACATAGTCTTGCAAAAAAAGAAAATCGTGATATAGTCAAATGGTTTTCCTTCGTCTCGCTAGAGAATTTAAGAACACCCACAACAAATCAAGCAAATTGCAAGAAAAGTGAAGAACTTCCACATTTGCTAATCATCAAGAAAACTAAAGAACAAATCTTAAACTATTCTTATTGGTGACCACAACCAACCCAACCAATCATTTATATATAAAACTAAAGAACAAATCTTAAACTATACTTATTGGTGACCACAACCAACCCAACCAATCATTTATATATATATATATATATATATATATATATATATATATATATATATATATATATATATATATAAAAACCAATCAAATTTGTTTTTTATCATATAAAATATATATTAATATTAGTTTCTATTTAAAAAGAAAAACTTATAAATTTTAGTCTAATTTATTTATTTATCTTTTAAGAAAACAATGTCTAATTAAAAAAATATTAAAATTTAATTAAATAATTGTACGAATGCCAAGAGAACCCACAAAAATGCTTTCAAGTGAATTTCAAATGGCCCCCTGTATTATATTTGAAAGCCCCACCACACTTTCCTTTCAAATGTGGCACGCATTTTTTAAAAATGGTAGAGGCCACTCTTTGATACCAAACATATATAATTAGGGTTGAACATGATAGTGTATTAATTTAATTATATTTAAATTGTGTAGTGTATCAACTATAAAAAAGAATTTGTAAAATATATTTGGTACCAACCTTGTTTGGAAATTAATATATTTATGTTTGGTTGGTACAAATCGTTAATTACTACCAACGGTTTTCTAATTTTCAATTATAATGCTTAAAAACCAGCAATGATATGAGATAATTTTCTTGTTTACTAATATAAAATAGTAACGTAACTATTCCCTTTTAGTTACTAAAAAATTTTATTAAGTAACATTGAAATAACTTTCAATGATATAAATCAATGTGGTAATAAATATTGACTATGCCTAATGACTAATATCATGTTTTTAAAATTATAAACAATAAACACACTTAAGAGTTGATAGTTGGTACTACAATACCATGGTATTTAAAACTAAATATCACTACCATACCATGTTTACTAAATTGGAACGGTACTAATAACCAAACTTGTTGGTTACCAAACATATTGGTAACCAACTTTCTTGGTTCGGTTGGTAGTATATTGGTTGGTTATCCGCGATACATATTTGACAGCCCTATATATTGTTGGATTAGGTGTCTAAGCTCATAACTATTTTGGTATGTACTTGACCCGATTATGAGCATGGTCCTTTTGGGTTGCATTCACATTAGCAACTGGTAGGATGAATTATGGAGAAAGAGGATTAATTGTGATTTATTAATATATTATGTGAATAATATATTAAAAGAGAAATCATATGGTTTAATTAATATTGATCAAGAATTAATTTAGAGTTAGTTTTGTGGTCAAAAGAGATTAATTAAATCAAGGGGACTGATACTGTAATTATAAGATAGTTATAAAGTTGGGCTTAGGATCCATAAGGAAGCAATGAACGAATTCTGTATGGGAGTCCATATAGAAATCGTCCAATGGGCCTTCTGGAAGGATCATTTGGGCTGCTTAAGGACTAAGCAACTGGATTAGGGTTTTGACTGAAACCCTAATTGCTCAGCTATATAAGGAACCCTTGGGCATGCCAAAAATCGGCCACTAGAAACCCTAGAAGGATTCCATAGCCGATTTTGAGCCTCTCCTCTCTCTCTCTCTCTCTCTATCTCTCTTTTATTTCTTCCTTGTTGCTAGTGGTGTTTGTGACTCCATTAGAGGTGCAACATTTGAGGCACTAAGCTTTCAAAGGTCAAGGAGTTCTTGTTATTACTACATAACAAGTTGAGGTAATCATTCTAACTAGTTTATATGTCAATTTCGATTGTTATATGCTAGTCATAGGTTTATTGCTTTGGTATTCAATGTTGTATGTTCAAATTAAAAAAACATAGATCAAAGCAATTAGGGTTGCATGTACACCATAGGAATGATGTTATGCCCATAACTCATCAATGGTATCAGAGCCTAGGTCGTTTTTCTAGTTGAATAGATGCAAACGTGAACTGCAAAAGGATCAAAAAGTTGAATTTTTGTTGTCTGTGAAGCCGACTCGGCGAGCCCATCAGTGGACTCGACGAGTTGCATGAACTCGGCAAGTCCAGGGTGCTGTTGTCGGGATTTTCGATTTTTTGAGCAATTTTTGATGAGGATAATTACCAAAACTCGTTTTTCTTGCCTAAAATCGATTTTTCATGTTTGGTATGGTTATCCTTATCAAAATTAATGGATTTGGTTAAATATGAATAATATAGGATTATTATGATTCAAATATTTGACCTAGTAAATTTGAAAAGTTTCAATTTACACCCTTTAGTTTTTATAGTTTAAATTTGAACTTAAGAGTTTTAGTTTTTGAAATTTAAATAGTTAAAACCCTAATATTTTGAAAGGTTTCAAAATTTGTCCTCAAGTTTTGGAATTTAAAATTTAATTAATAGGTATTAATTTTAAAATATTCAATTCTAAAACCCTAGTATTTTGAAAAGTTCAAATTACACCCTTATGGTTTTATTAAATTAATTAGGTGTTTAATTAAAAGAGATATTAATAAATCCATAATTATATGATTTAAGTTAATCAAATTAAAAGTATAATTTGTTAATAGATTAAACCACCTAGTATTTTAAAAAGCATAAAATACATCCTTATACTATATAGAATTAAAAGTTTAATATTATATATGTATAAGTAAAAGTCAGTCTTACCGTTAGTAACCCTTATTCACGAAGCCGGTCTATAAGGGTTGTTTAAGAAAGTGACATGTAAAATGACCGACATTGGGTATCCACTCTTACCCGCCGCACTCTTGACCAGTGGAGGGTCGTTAGCCGAACGGGTAGGATAGGTCACAACTTTCCATTATAAGTATAATGAAATACGAAGTAACTAAATGCTTTTATAAATTCCCAAATCTTAGTTACTTTAGGAAAAATGTGCAGCTGCAGCTAATCCATGAAATGACACATTGCACCTTGTTGGTCGTTAGTGGAACGTGTGTGGTTAACCGGCACACTAATATGGGACCAATGAAGGATGGCAATGGGTAGCTCGTAGATTATCATAGATCAATGGAGCGTGTATGGTTAACCGGCACATTGATTAGGTGATAGACATCTTTGAGAGTACCAAGCTAATTTGCATGGTTATCCACACCTTGTTTGTGATCCTCGGCATCCCAGTCGCAAACTTGAAGGCATAATTGAGATTAAACATGCCATTGAAAAGTTCAATGAATCTTAAAAGATCTAGGAGTTTCAATTCATTTAAAACCTAATTTTCATTTTCATTTTTCATGGTGGAAATTGGTAAATCGTCATTTACCTACCTTTAAATATTCTGCAACTGGATTACGGCATCCCTCTTCTGAGTTGTAGAACATTGTGTTGGGTCCTAGCCTTAATATTTCATTAGAGAGTACTATATGATGGACCACGACGTGACCTTCATTGATCTTACCTATTTGCTTATTGCTACTGAATCAGCAATGATTTGGCGTACTGGAAAAGCAAATTTGACTGGTGGATCAACCTCCAAAACTTCCATGGACATTAGAGATAACAACATTGGAAGTCCAGAAAAGTCTTCTCTTCCCAATGGAAAGGGATTGGCCAAGGTCAAACCGTTTGACCGAATGGTAAAGAGAAAGGCTGAATCTGAGATTGTCCCATGTGTTGTTCCAAAAGAGTCAATTTGTTTCTACTGCTAAGAGAAGGGGCATCAGATGTGAAGCTGTCGTATCTACCTGAAGGATCGCAAAGATCGGAGAGTCAAGATGTATGACTCTACTTCAGGTAAAATCCACTATCTAACTCTATTAATTTCCTATTTGTATATTCTTAATACATGATGTGAGATTGCATTTTGATGTTTTGTAGCATCGAAGAAAAGAAAGGAAGCTTAAAGGAAGAGTGAGTTGAGTCTGATCACGAAGAAATGGATTTCGATCGCATGGTTCGAGGATCGGATTTTTGAGCTGTTGTTTAAGAGTTAGAATAGATTGCTTAGAAATGTTTAATAACATAGTTTGCATTTGTAATTGCATTATAAGGACAAGTTTTCCGCACTTTTATAAATATAATAAAATTTTGTTTTTGTCTTATTTATATATCCTTGCAATGGCATTTGTGAAAATTGATGTTTGTATGTTTCTATTGTTAGCAATATTGAAAAGGATGTGATTCTTAGTTATGTTATTTATGGTAATGTCGAAAATTTACCAAATAAGGAATGATTCTCATCACCCAAGTTTCAATTGGACAGAAACTTGGAATCATGCGACTTGTATTGTATGATGAATGAGAACCTTCGTATTTGGGAAATTAAGACTAATTCCTTGTTCACATAAGTATGTGAGTCAAGTGAAGGACTAAAGGATGTAGTACGCATTGTTGTGCACTGGTCGAGTCCGCCACAAAGAACGATAAGACTATTCGTCATGATTTACTAAAAGCTTAGTAAATATGGTTATGCTTACAAGATTAAGTGTAATTCTGAATCGTTGAAAAGGTTTCAATGCAAAGCATAACGAATGGGAAGAATCAATTAGGCAGA